GAAACTCAAAACCGAACATCCTGCAAATCAAAATAGCAGAAATAAACACGGGAAAAGCAGTTAATAGGGGATCGGGGCGTTAATTCTTAAGACGACCGGCCGGGTCGTCACACTTTATTATTTTCAGTAACTAAAGAAAATTTCAATAAACCAATTATTCCTGTGTATAATTACAGAGTCTTTAATTATTTTGTAAAAGTTTTCTAATAGCTCCCGTTGGAGAAATGCTAATAGCCTCCTCCTGCTTATCGCAACTGCAATGTCCATTCTGGCAAAAGGGGATTGCGCCATGACCGCAAGAATTAAAGCAATCCCTAAATGTTGTGCATGGTTCACCAAACAAGGCTGAAGCTTCCACACTCTGCATGTCTATAAACAAATATTAATTAAATTTTTGTTATAAAGTATTAAAAAATTTATGTTTAAGTAGAAAAATACAAAAGTAGTAAAATTTGTGTAAAACAAGTGTTACTAGACAATAATACAACTTTATAGGCCGATTTAGAAAAAATATGATAAGTTGCAGTGTCTCAAATCCCAAACTATTTTGGACTTGCTATATTAATTATATACTTGAAACTCCAAAAATTAAATTAATTTGTATTATGAAATACTTTTATGTTAAGAATTCAATTTCTTATTTAGGCGTACAAACATATACTATAAAATTAGAATTTTCATTTGATGAGAAAGTAAAAGAGGGAGAAATAGATACCTATTGTAATAAGCATTAAACAAATCATGGAGAACAAAGTGATGGATGCCTTCCTCGTAGCCATAATGAAACTGAAAAGTGTGCAACAAATAGTTGATAAGTTATAACTTGTATAAGTACCCATCACATTTCTTGCTATATATAGTTCTGAGAATCACAATAAAAGGTAAGTGCAATCTGAAATAAGTTTGAGAAGAATGACAAGTACTTTATTTATGATAGATTGAGGAAATTAGAAATTAATTTGATTTCCATAAGGATACACCCACTTTCCTTGTAGTGATGCAGCAAAATTTAATAATAGGTCAAACTGGGGGTGGTAAAATGGTTCAAAGAAAACAGTTAACCACTCATATTATCCACTAAAAAATGGGTTGGATAATGAACTTTTTAAATATGGGTCAAATATGGATAAGAACCATATTATCCATTTAGAAAATGGATAATGGGTCTTACTTTTACATTTATAAAGCCTCAACTTGGGGGTTCCTCAAGTTAGAGAGACTAAGAATTCTCCCAAAAGTGATCATATACAAGAAGTCATGGATAATATGGGTAACCCGTATTATCCGCTGGTTAACCCGTTTTTTATCCGTATTATATATGGGTCGGGTCGGATAATTGATTCGTTTTTCATTACTCATTTTCAACCCGAACCATATCCGACCCGACCCGTCCGTTTGCCACTCCGAGGTCCAACTATAATCAATAATATACCAACTTTCAAAACAAAGAAAAGGAAAGAAAGAAAGGTCCAAAATGTGTAGGCTAAAAATTTTCAATGTAAAATAACATGATTGTGGAAACCTCTTTTGGACAAAATATAGAGTTTACTTTTTATGAAGCAAATTTAGCCAAGTCTATTGTGTTTTTTGAGATCTTCTGGAAGTATTCTTTTTACTATACTTTATTAATGTTAATTGCTTTTATTTAATCAATATAAAAAATTAGAAAATAAATAAAAAAATTATTTATTTTAAATATTTTCATTTCATACCAAATACACCTTTGGAATCACATTTTACATTTTAAACAAAGAAGCTCTCACATTACTAATTGTTGGTGTGTGAGAATGTTAATAGTCTGTTTAGCCAAGTTTTTTCAAACTTAAAAGTACTTTTTTAATATTTTAAAGTTAAAGCGTTTGATCAAACTTTTAAAAAAAAGTATTTTTAAGTAGAAGCAGAAGCAGTTTTGGAGAAGTAGAAAAAAATAGCTTCTCCTAAAAAATACTTTTGAAAAAAATATACGTAGAAAGCACTTTTTAAAAGCTTGACCAAACAATAATTGCTGCTCAAAAGTGCTTTTCAAGTTAGTTAACCAAACACAAACTGTTTCTTACTAGAAGTACTTCGGAAAAAAGCACTTTTAAGAAAAAATACTTATTAAAATAAACTGATTTTAGAAACTTGGCCTAACATAATATAAATCAATTAATTTGGGATCAAGAAATCCAAAATTAAAAGTTTTAAAAAGTGAGGGACGACTATTCTTATTTTTTTCAATTTGCTTATGTCACTCTAGAGGAGCCTAGACTCCACAAAAAAACAACTGAAACCCCTCTCTCTAAAATATATTGATTTTCATAGCAACATTTCATCGAGACAAACCTGTAAGTATTACGTAATTTAATTTTCCTTGTTTAGATTTTGGGCTACCATTAAATTCTCAATTTTTATTGAAAATTGATAGCTCGATTGATCTTTGTACGATGATTTCTTGAATCTTAGTTACTATATTGGATCTGAATAAGATTGCAATGAAGAAATTTTGAAGTTGGGTTTGTAGATTTATGTCTTTATATGATTTCACTCATCAGACTTAGCCCTAGTGCAGGATTCTTGATTCTTCTGATTTGGGGTTTCTCTATTCTGCTTCAAGATTCAATTTATCTGTGGATTTAGTATTGAATTTGATAATTACATTTCCCCAGAAGGAAAAAGAAAGAGAAATAAACAGGAGATAGTTGTGTCCTCGTAAGCATTTTAGCAATAAAGTTGAGGAAGAAATTGTGAGTAGCCCAGGTTTCTTCAAAATGGGGAAACCACTATTTTATGAGATATTGGAAAAGCCAGCAACGAGTTGTGTAATTGGAATATGCAGTGCAATTTGGTTCTATATTCAGAAATCAAATATTGGTTATTCACATGTTGGTATGAGTTATGAAACTGCTATGGAAGGTCATCATTGGAGGATAATAACATCAGCGTTTTCGCATATTAGTGTGCTTCATCTTGTTTTTAATATGAGTGCACTTTGGAGTCTTGGAGTTGTTGAACAATTGGGACATATAGGTCTTGGAGTAGAGTATTATCTTCATTATACATTGGTTTTGGTTCTTCTTTCGGGCATGCTTGTCGTGGCAATGTACCATATTTTGATTCAGAAATTTAAGCTTGAGTATTTTCGGAGAGTTACTGCTGTTGGATATTCTTGTGTGGTGTTTGGGTGGATGACGATTCTTTCAGTCAAGCAACCATCGTCAAAACTGAATCTTTTTGGTTTTCTTTCACTTCCCATCAGTTTTGCGCCATTTGAGTCACTCATATTTACTTCTATTATTGTTCCTCAAGCGAGTTTTCTTGGGCATTTATCAGGAATTATTGTTGGTTATGCTGTTGGTTGGGGTCTGATACATGGGATGAACAATTACTGGGCGGTTACACTGCTGGGATGGACTGTGGTTGTGTTTGTTTTCAGTTTGAAAAAGTCTGCTACATTTGATTTGAACTTTCTTGAGATTGAACCTGTCACCGATCCCTCTTTGCCTTCTGTAAGGTTTCTTGCAGCTGGAAATGGTAGAACTTTACAGATGAGTACATTAGCAGATACCGGCGCCAATCTTGTATAGCTTTCACTGGTTACTTGAGGATTACAATGTATTTACTAGTATTGCGATTTTGAAGGATGACTGGTTTACCTGCCCAGTAATCTCAACAATTGTCATTTACACGACAATATGTTCATTGATTCTCGAAACACTCGTTTGTTTAGGTAACCACTGTCATGTGTAAGTGTGGCTGTTATTAACATATTTATAGATGCACCATAATATTCCACTTAACACTGAATTTTTGTGTTTAGGTGCTTTAGCATTGTGTTCCATCCATGCATGTATCCCAACTATTTGTTAAATGATTTAGCAGGATGACATCTGCAAATCTCAAAAGAACTTCAGTTGTCTGTTTTTTAGGCTACGTAATGAACAATTACATTTACTGCTGTCAATTTCTGTCCATTACAATGCTTATTTTATGTCAGACAGTCAGAGTAGATTCATGGATTTTGCTTATATTGTCAATGCCAATATTGCGCGGACTCTCTAAAATGTTGCCGCACACGTATCTGACCCTCCAAAAATGCACTACTTTTGGAGGATCCGACATGCACCCGGCGACATTTTCAGAGAGTCCGAGCAACATAGTTCAAAGCTTCAAGCTTAGTTGCTTATTCTGTGCTTTGTGCTACAGCCCCACCCCCACTACTCTCCCATGAATGAAACAAAAAGCAAAGAAAACATCGGAGACATTCAATACCTAGTCAAAAAGAGTCTTATGTTAAGGATGAAGATAGCCTTCAAAGAGAAAAAAGTTCCGCTTCAAGTATCTAAGTTTTGTTTATGAATGAAATTTGGCCCTTTGGGAAGTTTCCGGACTGTAAAAGAGATTTATTTGTCTATCTTGTCCTTGAGAAAGCCTAATATGCAATTTCTTATAAAGTTTTACCTATTAAAGTGATGGATGGCCAGTGCTTGCCTCAGAATATAGAAGATACCAGATGTGCAGAAAACACTTTTGACATGTAATTGGTTGCTAACTTAATCGGTTAACTTTTCATTCTTTTCTTGGACTGTTTTAGTGATATACTTTAATACCTAGATCATTCTCCTAGTCCAGTCTCTTGAATCATTTCTTAGCTTTATTAGTGGGATGTATGCTTAAATTTTATCTCATGGAGTATATGTTTTAATGTTTGATTTTTATAGGACCTTATATAAGCTAGTTTTGGGTCAAGTGGTATCCTTGTACCTTCATTGAGTAGAACAAGTTGAAACCATTTTTCTTAAATCTTTTGGAAAATCATAAATTTGCAATATTTGGAAGGATCCCCTTATTATGTAGTTTTGGGTCAGGTAGTATCCTTATGTAAAATTTGGTTTCTCTCTTTTTGTCTTTATTTATTTCTTCTGGCAAATATAACTGTTCTATCCCAATATTTTCAATCAAAGAATATACTTCCTTACATCAAACAATATGGGGTTACTGAAGAAAAAAAGAACGGAATAAAAACAACGTATAACCAATCAATCCCCTTCAAATTAGTAATCTATTGTTACCAATCAATCGATATAAACAAATAAAAATCAATATCAAGAATACAAGTGAATGAGCAGCTGAAGATGTGGGTTTTCAGAAAGAAATGAGAAAATGGCAGAGGCCAATACAGCCGAAGAATGTTACTGCAGTTCCGTGTCGCTAAATTTGCCCCAGAGCTGTATGCATATTTTTGTCTACTGCCACAAATATTGGTTAGCCATCACAAGCAACAAGAGACTAATAGTAAGATTCCTCACGCCTGAAGCCATTGAACCTTTCAAGAAATTCATCGAATTTACAGTGTGGAGGTCTGCAGTGTTCAAATATTAAGAAATGTATCAGTATATGCAGTAAGAATATGAGCAGATATATGATGCATATAACTTGAGTAACAGCCTTCATCTCAAACATCCAAGAAAGAATACGAGGAGGGAACTGTTTAATGAAGAATACAAAGAGAGCAAGGGATATATTGCACGGAAAATGACAATGTTGTCTTCATTGGAAAGAGGACATGATCCGAGAGAAAACCCTAATCTTGGTGTCCGGAGAAAAGAAAAAAAAAAAAGGAGTCTCAGCACCATGCCAATTAGGGGTGTTCAAACCGAACCGGAAAACCGCACCAAACCGAAAAGTCAAACCAAACAGATTAAAAACCCAATTTGATTTGGTATTGAGTAAAAAACCCAAACCAAACCGACATATAAATATATAACTTTTATATATACTTTTAAGACTTTATATAGCATTTTCTTTAAAAAATATCTAAAAAATATTTGAGATCCTCTCATGGGATGTAATATTTAATAGAATTATGAAGTGCATCATTTTTATTTACTTTAAATAATGAGTTGTATCACTTTCTTATCAAGTGTTATTAAAATGGGTCAATCATCTTTTGTTCTTCCATATTCATATATCAAGATTTCTTATATCTTTTTCGAATTTGAAATGATATTTCGATAATTTAAAATTAAATTGAACATATCATTATTTAGGTATCATATTGATTTTTATGTTTAATTATTAAATTCGATTAATCTTGAAAGCGTACATAAACGAAAAATTATTGTTAGACGACTAACAAAATAACTATCATGTGTTACTAAAAAAATTCTCCATAAGAATATTTTAATAGATCATATGTTTGTCAATTTTTTGAATCTTTACTAAACATACATTCACTTATCAAAATTTTATCTATAACGTTAACAAAGTAATATTGAAATAATATTCATGTAACAAAAAACCCGAAAATACACACAAAACCGAATCAATCCAAACTGATATAAGTTGGTTTAGTTTGGTTTTGATAAAAACTGAACCAACCCGGTTCATGTACACTCCTAAATTGCCAACAACATTACACGAGCTCCTTATGCATGTTTAAACAATGAAATTAAAAACAAAATCTTACTGAGAGAAACTGTAACATGATGCTGCGTTAACATATTTATAAGAAAAACATTTGCAAATATGTTGGAAGAGTGACACTTGAAGGATAGCCAACACTGAAATAGGCAGAAAAGCCTAGTACATATACCTAGTCATGAATGAACTCATTGTTTATATCCTTAATTAGAAGTCATTTGCAAAGATATACCAGTTACTACAACCATTGACACTATATATAAGGGAAGCATCTCAATTGAGCGGTGTGAAAGGAAGAAGAGAAGAGAAAAATAAGATATGCAAAATCTACTCTGGATGCATAACTGGTCAGAGGAAGTCATTTTGGACATGATTTCAAAAACCATGATCAAACGAGTTTAAAGCTTCATAGACAACATTAACTTAAGAATCCACACTTCAGAGAAAATTTTCTTAAACTATATTGCTATGGATGAAAAAAACAATCAGAGGAAATCTAGAACTAAAGAAACCTAGTAGTAACAATTTTGCTCAAATAAATCATAACTACCATTCAAGAACCTTTAACTGACTAGAGGAAAATTCTCTGGAAGAGGAAGAATTGGGAACTTTATATACCATGGAATTAAACCAAAAATCTTTTGTGTGATTCTCTGTTTGTGCTTTATTTTTGCTAACCCGAGGAAGGATGTAGACTTTTCCCTCACACACTCGCACACAAAATTTGTTTTAAAAAAACCTAGTAGACCAATTTCAATGTTGATAAATTAGATCAAACCAGGATTTGCCAAACTCTTAGTAGTTGCCATGCTTTGCAATGTAAAAAAGATGTTTTCTTACCATGTTAAGTTTTCAAATAAAGGAAAACATGAACTCAGAATTCAGAAATTCAGCCATGAAACAGGCTTTTGCATTTTTTGTTGTTGTTGATGGTGTTTTGTGTGTGTGTGTGTGGGTGTGTGT